GGCAGCCCCCCGGCCGGGGCTCCAGCAGGGGGGGTGGGGGGGCGCAGCCCCGCCCCGCGGAGCCCTCAAGACCCGCCAGGGAGGTGAGCCCACCCCGCCCGCCCGCACTAACCTCACTGGAAGGCGGTCCGAGCACACCACCCTGAATGCGGAGAAAGCACCCTGGCCTGGCCTGGCCTGGAGGCCTCTTCTGGGGACGGCCCTGGACACTCACTGAGGGTTGCTTGAGTTCGAGAGTTTCCCTTGGAATCCCCAGCCATGCCACCTTCTAACAGGTCTCCTGACTGCAGGAACTAGGGGCTACCAGGGAGTGAGGCTTAGATTCCAGTGTTTTAGCCTCTCCTGTGACCCAACTTTTTAAACATTTCCCCCCACCTCCCAGTGGAGGGTGACAGTTCATAGTCAAGGGTCGCCAGGACACCTGCTTCTTAGTGTGGCAAGAACTAGGGTGCCACCCACAGTTGGTTGTCACCTTGTAGTGGCAGGGCTCCATGATCTGTCTTGGTTCTCTTGGGAGGGCTCCGCCTCATTTTAGTCAGAAACAGAGCAAGACAAAGCTCCAGGTCAGGAGTCCTGCCTGTCTTCATAGTGCAGCAGGTCCTTCAGGCCTCCATTGCATCTCTCTGTTCCCAGTTTCTGTTCGTTGTTTGCCTGGCACCGTTAGGGAAGCATTTGTAGGGGGCCCATTCCTTTTCTTATAGATCCATCTACTTCTCATCTGCCTTCCTGGACTGGGCTTGATGTCCTGGGACTCTTGAGTTTCACAATGTTTGACTCTCTGGTCTTGCTCAAGACCCAGGCAGACTTGTACCAGGGTGCTCACTTCCTCAGACCTGCCCCTCCAGAATCCTCAGATAAAGCCGGCTTATTGTTACAGGGATTTTCAACCCTTGAACTTTGTACTTGATTGAGTGAAGAGCTAGGGAAAGCCAAGGCCGCTGTGAGATCTTTAAAAATGATACTAGCAGAAAGAACTTTCTTTTTCCTCTGAATTTAATTTTTACTTTTTGTGAGAGGGCCTGTGCAATGTGACTAACTGGTGGCCTTTCTTCCTCAGGTCACTGTAAGTAAGGGGAGCAGGGACTTAAACCCCCAGCACCTGTGCTAGCCCCTTCCCTCAGATGCTGTGCCGAGTCTTTTATTCAGTGAGGGCATGAGTGATATAGCAGGAAGTGCACAGGCTCCAGAGCAGAATCCTGGGATTTGCCATGTGACTCTCTTCTCTCAGAGAATGGGGCCTGTGTTTTGTGGGATGGAAATGTTAATGTCTTCATCATAAGGTGTCATTTCATATGTGTTAATCTCTACACTCAGAACCTGGTGAATGCAGGCACTTGTGCTGATGAGTGTGGCGATAATTGATCCTTTCAGCCTGTGGCACATGCTGTAGTAAGTCCTGTAAGGTCCCTCCTACCTGGACAAGCAACCATTCTGCCAAGTGCCCTTCAGACAGTGCATTCTGAGTATCTCAGTTTGGGCTGTGTTCCACCTGTTGAAAGTCGCTGGATGCTAGGGCTCCCTCAGCCTTTCTAGGTATTTCACAGAGGTTCCCACAGTGCATGCAGCCAGCCAAGTCAGCAAATGTTTTTGGCTGCTTGAAGCACATTTAATGAGTTAGGTGGAACAGTGAGACATACAGAGATCTGTGATCTTTTGTTGGCCTCTGGTTTTATCTGACTTCTAATCCGGGCTCTCACTTTCCCTTTCTTTTTCTTTCTGTAAATCCAGAGGCTTGGACCAGCTCATCTTGTCCCAGAACACAGGGCCTGGGAATCTGTAAGAGAATCTTAGAGGTGAGATGAAATTATGTATTCAGTTCCACTGCCAGTGTGCAGGAGCAGAGTTGTAAACATCCAGGATCCCCATCCTACCTTCCATTCCTGTGGGGACCCTCTGCCTGTCCTCCACAGGGCTCTGGTGGTCTGAGGTAGAGAGCCATGGCGGATGATCATTGGGCACCCTGTGTATCATGGAGTGGGTTGAAAGAGAAGTGAATCTTCCATGGGAGCTGGCTCTGAGGAGAGTGGAAAGTAGGCCCTGGGTCAGTCTAAAGACAGCTGGACAGCTTTCACAGATTCCAAGGGAAACTGATAACTGAGGTGGGCCAGACATCTTTGCTGGTGGATTTCTTTCTCTGGAACCCTATTCCGACTTCCTGGAGGCAGAAAGGAGTTTGGGCTGAAGCCTGAGCCTGTGCTGTCTTGGTGGGGTTAAAGATGGGGTGACCCTGGGTAAGGCAAAGTCACTTAGATGTTCAGAGTTCTAGAGAAGACCAGGAACTGGCAAGTGGATATTGAAGACAGGAAGTGGGTATAGGAGAAAGCAGGGTGGTGTGCTGGGAAGGTCTTTCCTCTTCACTTCCAGTCAGCCCAGATCCTTGAAATCCATGTCTTAGGGGAGTGGACTATGCTGGTCATGGGTCAGAGATACAAAGAAACCCCACTCTTAGGGCATGGGGGAGAAGACCATACAATCAAGCTTGGGACAGCTCTTATTTAATAGTTTGAGATTGTGTTTGTAGGGGGTATGTTCATATGCATGTGCCCACATGTTTGGGAGCCAGAAGGCAATCTCAGATGTCATTCCTCAGGTGCTGTCCACATTGGTTTGAGACAAGGTCTTTTACTGGGAACCAGGGCTTGGTGATTTGGCTAGGCTGGCTAGACAGTGAGCACCAGGGATCTCTCCCTAGCTTTTAAAACATGGGTTCAGAAGCAGGCACTTCCCAGCTCAATTAATCTAATCTAGATAATCTCCATATGCCTAGAGGGGCTTGTCTCCTGGGCAGTTCTAGATCCTGTATAGTTGACAATGTTAACTATCACAGATGGCAATAGCTTAGTATAGTGTTTGTAAGGGACCCTTCAGCTGAATTAAATGAGATTGTCTTCTCTTTGCAGAAGAGGAGGCTAAGCGGGCATGTCTGACTGTTACTGCAGTCATGTCAGAGCTCGTGACCAGCTGGAGCAAGCCAGGCTTAGCCACCATCCTCAAAGTGCCAAATTAGTCAAATTAATAGTGAAAAGCAGAAACAGTAGTTTTATTCAATATGGTCATATTGGGAAAAGGGATAAAGAGATTCAGTGGACACCTCTCCCCACAAGTCCATCTTTGGGGTACTGACATGAGGTTTAGAGTAAATAGAAGGCAAGAGGTGTGCATCCTGTCCATCACTGACTCATCATTGTCTCAACCCCAGTCCTTCCTGAGAAGGGGTCCGGCGGGCTATCACCACTTTGTGAAATCTCTGTAGGAAGAAATACATGTCCCCCTCTGGCTGGCATCTTTTCTTTCTCCCAGCATGAGACTCATGTGGGAAATTCCAGTTCCCTGGGGGTATCTTGTTTCAACAATCCAGATAGACAGTGAGGGACATAGCATCTCTCTAGAATGTTCTCAGTTCTTTGGACATTCCCACTATACAACTTACAAACCACCTGTGCTCCAAGATAGTTTCGAGTGTGGCCCAACACAAAGCCATAACTTAAAACATTATTATCTTAGGGTTTTGTTTGCTTGTTTCTTTGTTTTAACATAGTTGTGTGGTTCTTTATCTATGACAGCATTGTGTTGCAACATCTAAAGGCATATAAACTTTGTAGCTGACAGCATTGTGTTGCAACATCCAAAGGAAGGGGCAGGCCTGGAACTCAAGCAGATCCAGGTGCCTGGTCCATAGCTAGAACCAGGTTGTAATTCAGGTTTACCTGCTCCAGAGTCTGCTCAGAACTAGGATTGCTGCTCCTAGATTAAAAGCTTCCTCAGGCCTGGCTGCATAGTGCAGAGTTCAAACAACACAGGAAGTCACTCTTGAAGGCAGGATTCCCCAGCTGTCCTGGACGATGTGTGGTGAATGCCATGGAATGCCTGCCTCGAGAGCCTTGTACAGGGAAAGGCCCATCTGGAAGAGATTCTCTGTAACCTCATAAGGTTAGAGGCAGGCTTATATGTTTCACAGTAGTTTGACATACTGTGGTCTGCATTGGACCCCTTAGGTCATGTCCCCACCCCCCAGGAGACTGAGGGAAGTGGGTGGTGTCATGAGGTGGGGGAGGAGAAGAGCCTGGGATGGGGCTTGCTGTATCCAAGTGATAAATTTGCTTGGCCAGCTGGGAGGGAAGGGTGTGTGTTGGCAGGTTGGGCTAATGGCCAGCCCCTTAATCAGCCCTTGGCCAGGCTTGCTCTCAGGTTTCTGCTGAGTCATGTTCCTTGGTCCTCTCACTCCCAGTTCCTGGATTTATTTGGCTCCTCCCTGGCCTTTGCATAACCATGTGTTAAGTTGAATGCAGGAGCATCTAAAGCACAGAGAAATGGACCCTGTAGTCATTCGCTAATGACTGCATTCCCTATAGCTGTTGATGAACAGGATGGGGCCATTCGGACACAAACCTGTCTCCTAAGTATCTCCTGGAGCTTGCAGCAATCCCCTCTCCTAGGCCTCACAAGTGACTGACTAATCCTTCCTTTTGGTGCTGGGTAGGGAATGTAAAATGTAGGGGCTCCATTAAGAAGCCCTTAGACTTCCCAGCCACTCAGCCTCCAGCTTGAATGCACCAGGCTTGGGCTCACTCCTGTAGGGAAGATGTCTGTACAGTCTCAGGGGTGGGTCCATCTTCAGTCAATCAGGGAGAGGAGCAGTCCAGGTTACTGTGGAGAACTGGA